CCACCCCCCCTCGTACAGCGAGACGAGACCGCCAACCCCATCCTTTATTTCTCTCCTCTTACGGCTTCGTGGATGCATGCGCATGGCTCGTGGAGGATGCTAATGTCCTGTCTGCTGGGCTTTAGGGGCCTTGTGATTTTTTTCGAAGCTGGGCGCCCTTCGCCGGGAGCTTCGATTCGGCGCCGGGAAGAGCTGCGAAGGCGCAGATCACGTCGATGAATGTTTCAAGCTCTGGCGCTGCTGGAGCATTCATTAAATTCAGTGGTTTACAGGCGATTGGGAGTATAGGTATTTTTACGAAACTTACCGCCAGCACTGCGACCAACGCTGTTTCCTTGTTCGTTCGTCGGTTTTCGAGAGAGATGCAATTACTTTCCGAGTACCGTCAGTAAGTTGCAGCGAAACGCACCGTTTGACAGTGCGTCGTTTTAATAACTTTGTAACAGGAACTGCGGCCGGTCTACGAATTTAATGTGTTTTACTGAGAGGTGCAACTCTTGGCGAGTCACGCGTCATTTTACATGGGATAACTTGAATATATGATGAAATTAAAGATATTTGTATTTAGTGCAATACCATGTCTCTGCACACTTTGTAGGATACGTTTTATGCTATGACCCGTGCGCTTTGCTAGAGACTTCATTGTTTTGGTTAGGTTAAGAAAAAGATATCAAACTCGTAAATCAACTGTAGGATAGAGTATAGTGGCGCTGTGAGTACTTTGTTTATCGCTGGAAAAAAGGTTTTTAGGGATGCGATCAAAGACTGTGATCGTGGGCGAGGAATAAGAGAAACAATCGTACAGTAGAACGTCGATTATAGAAACGATCGGTTATTCAAATAGCTTGCGCAATATTTCTTCTGTGTAAACATCGCACAGGCTCGTCCCGTAGGGAAATTTTCCATTGGCAACGATTTTTTGCTTAAGGTAATTAATGATTTTCCATTGATTTTCATTGACTTACCACACGTTTTCGATTACATCAATGCACTGGTTTATCGAAACACCCAAGTCCTCCGATCAAATATATGGGCCTGTCGAGATTCTAGTAAAGCCTTGTTCTGCCTTAGCTGGGACCTAGGGAGGTTATGGAATTAAGAAAGAAAATTTGTACTAGGTACAATTTTTAGAGCACTTTTAAGTATAGGCATTTCGTATCTGTGTGTGATTAGTCATTTCAATTAAATTGCGTTTTAAAGGAAGAGCACGTCTAGTACTTCTGTTGTTTAAATGAAACACGATTTACTCGATTACATGTAGTGTCATCGAATTAAGTCAATTGGGTGTTGGGAGTATGCGGTGGAGTTGAGATAACGTCGCAGCACGTTTCGTTAATTAAATTATTTCAAAATTAATAATGATGAAGCTCAGTGGAAACAAATAAAATTTCTTTAAACTACATATGTTTCACTTGGTTTTATAAACCGTTTTCTTACTGACATGGTGACGATATGCTGCTGACATCTAGCGACGAAACGGGTAAAGTATTGTATTGAACGAAATAGTAATAAGCGGACTTATTCGGTAATTCTTGAAACTGTTTTATCGACCGTGTCGAAGTAGCTTATACATTTTGTGTTTGACAATACATTCGCCAACACTACCGCTTCTAGTTAGACCGAATAGAGTACAGAGATGAGTAGGGAGATGCACAACGCTACGGTTTTAGGCAATACCAAAAGCATGGCGCTGAATCCCAGCGGCGAGTCCGGAAGTATAGTTGCGTGATCATAGTCTCCGTCGATAATGCGGATCCCGTCGTAACCGAGCTAACCGCGATCACGAATGTGTAGCTTGCCGAGCAGAGTCCTCCGCTACTTATCGCTGGTTCCCAAAGCAACACTTAGAACGAGACAGCTCATCGGATATAGCCTAAATATTTTTTTTCTTTGCAATCCTAAATTCGATCGCACAGTGTAAGCTCGATGAGTTTAATATGACAAAAGCAAGCAACTCATGTCTGCCTGCACTGAACCGTATGATGACACCAGCATATTTAATACATATTTTACCGATGTTGCGTTAGCAGAACAATTGTTAAAACCTACCAGGAAGTATAGAACTCCTTGAGGACTTTAAAAAGCCTTAAAAAATGTTTCAACAATAGGCTTTTTCAAAAGTTGTCGAGAAGTTCTATAGTTTCTGATAGGTTTTAACAATAGTTATGCAACGTAACATCATTAAAATATGTATTTTAATAGAGTCCACAGTGTTCTACTCTCGTCGGTGCGCTATAAACGCGGAATTGGCAAAATCCAGAAGACTCGCGTGGACGAGGAAAAATTATTTAGTACACAGCGAAATCTGTGGTTGATCACTCGGAAACAAGAATAGCTGCAAATATAGTCAGACACTACCGCGCAACATGGGAACACTTTCCGAATGCATCACCAAAATCTCACACAAATATAAGTCAGATCTATGCTATACTTCCGGTATCAGCTGAGTATAGCAAATTTATGGCTTTCAGCATGGCCGCTTATATAAATGTTCATGGTGAGTAGAAAACAAAAGAAAAAGATCACTTACCCCAGGATCCTCGTCTGTATCTTGAATTTAAAAAACAACTGTGACGGTGTAAACGATGAAACGCAGTGAAGATGTATTTACCGGAGCTGATGCAGCTAATCCGTGAAGGCCAAGAAGTGCATCCAGAAGACATTCAGATGGGCACTGCACTAGGACACAGCACTGCACTTCCAGAACACTCACAGAAAATCCGTAGAATTCCCTGGATATCGCGAGAGCAACGCTAGAAGTACACGAGCGATAACTTTCTGTACCGTTTTGAAACACAGCTAGAAAAATTATCAACGAGACAGACTGCTTTGACGATAGCCAAATTCGAGAACTAATCATTCTGATTATCTGATTTGTCGAGATCCTTATAGCCGATAACTCTTCCTTTCCCTCATTGCCGTCCCTTTGAATCAAGTGGAGAGCGTTCCTCAGCAAATCGGTACGTAGCATTTGGAGATCCTCCACGGCGGCTTCCCCAGGACATTGGACGACAGGTGGGCACCACATCCTTAACTCGGGCAGGAAGTTCCTCCCCTTATCGTAACGAAACCTTATCTCCGCCCGCTCGGCAGCCCTTTGCCCATCTCCAGCGGGGCGCCGGCATCTCAGCCGAGCTACTGCCGGTCGGTGGAGACGTCTCCGTCGGGTACTGTCGTCTGCCGGGCAACTCGCTACGTCGAGACTATCTCTCCACGGCAGATTCGAGCACCTGGACGTCAACTAAACAATAACGAAATCTTATGAGAGG